GCTTTAAATAGCGACGGATCGCTTTTTTAATTTGATTTTTTCCGTTGCTATTTAATAGCAACGGATAATTTTTTTTTTAAAAAAAATTATGTGGGCTTTTATTTAAAGCCCCAAAATTTTTAAGGCTCGAGCCTTGTGAGCCAGGCCTTAGTTGGGCTTGGCTCGCGAGCCTATGAGCCTATAATATCAGGCTCGGCTCGGCTCGCTAGGCTCGCGAGCCTTAAGGCCTATGAGGAGCTTTACTCATGGACGCTAGAGATAATTCTGGTAGAAGCACGTTTTGCACTTTATAATGCCATTAACAATAATACCCAACACTAACAACAACAGTAATACTAACTATAATTATGTTGGCCGAAGTAGAAGGGAGACAAGCCTTCATATACTTTGTTTTCAACAACAACCAACGATCACCACAGATTCAATTCTTTTCTTCACTCATACATTTTATTAAAATATTATATTTGTTTCCTCCCTTAGCAAAATCACTTTTCATTCATGTTTTTACATATTAAAATGCTAGATTTGGCACCTCCTTTGACATAAGTTAAAATGATGGAAGATATAAGAAAAGAGAAAGAAATGATGCCATTACCAGTAGAAGTAGTGATACCATCACCAATAGAAGAATTAATATCACCACAACCAGTAGAAGAAATGGTGTTGTCACCAATGGGTCTTCTTCAATAGAAAAACCAATTGAGAAAGTTGCATCCAGATTTAAAACCTATGGAGGATGATATTAAGTTGAAGATATAAAATTAACACCAGTATCAAGATAATTTCTTGTCAAAAATGGTGTTGTCACCAATGGGTCTTCTTCAATAGAAAAACCAATTGAGAGAGTTGCATCCAGATATAAAACCTATGGAGGATGATATTAAGATGAAGATATAAAATTAAAACCAGTATCAAGACAATTTCTTGTCAAAAATCAAATATATTATTACGTGGGATAGACCAATTAAAGCATTGAAAATAGTTCAAGAACATGAAAATATAACTATAGTGGATCTTTTGATCTTGATAATCAAACAGATGCTAAGATGATAGTGGATCAATACTATCAGCATACACTTGCTATACATGACATGTTACCAAATTTTTTTCAAAATCTCCGAATCCCAAATTATTTTATTAATCTGAAATTATTTAGGCAACATATAACACTCACCGATCGAAATTTTATAAATACTACACCTATAGGGTACTAGATAGGTGTAGCAGTTGTATTGAAATTCGGGTACCCGAAAAAGTTTTTTACACTTGTCGGACATTCGAATTTCAGCAACTATAGGTTTAGTATTTCTGAAATTTCGATCGGAATGATTAATAAGAAAAATACTTTTTTTTTTTTTGTCAGTTGATTCTGACGTGAAATTTAATTTATGATGTTATTTAAAACATTAAGGTTTGAATAAATGTAATTACCAAATGCAAACGAATTTTTAAGACTTAAATTGGGGATATAATTATATTTTATAATATAATCAACATTCTTAAGAAATAAAATATTCCGCTCATATATTACATCATGGATAATTTTAGATTAATATATAAACGATTAAAATATTTCTTTATCAAAAATAAAGACATACAATTTATTTAGAAAGTTAAATACAATATTTGCAGTAGATTATTACATTCGGGTTAATTTTTATAAAAGCTAATTGAGTTTACTGAATAAAGATAATTATTTATTTTTTTCTATTCTCAAAAACTATTCCAGTGCTATGTGGTAAAACAAATGGTCCAGCATATTTTTTTTCATCTACCTTTCCACTTTCCGTCTTAATATGATAATTCAAGATTAATTTATGCATACAAATTTTAATTTCATTAATAGCAAGAAATCTGTTTAAAAATATAAGGTAAGTTTAGTTTTTTTGAAAAATTTAAAAAAAAATGTAATGTAAATGGAAGAATAAATTTAAATTTAAAAATTCAAACCTTCCAGGACAAGCATGTTTTCCTGCACCGAATGCAATATAATTTTTATCAATTTTTGTAGCAGATTTTTTATTGTCCAAACCGTAATAAGGAAGGAATGACCTTGGTTCTGGTCCGTATACTTCGTTATAATGACTATCATTTAAATAAATGTAGACCATGCGATCTGTTAAATATTCAATAAAAAAAATAAATTTAATTATATTAAATGAAGACAATCAAAATAAATTATAAAAGATTACTTTCTAAATTATAAAACCTTTAGGAATTGTTGTGTTATTTTTAAATGTAAATGAATCGTCCACGCATCTGTGCATAAGGCCAGCTATTTTTTAACAAAATTTTAGTATGCTTAATATTTACTGTACTGCGTATGAAGAAAAAAATTTACGGACCGACATCACCAAAAGACCTTATAGATTCTCTCGTGAAACTATCTAATTTCACCATTCTGTCAACATGTTCAAGTGTTAATATTCCATTGCATTCCTTATTAATTTTTACTTGTTCCTCATAAAGATCATCCCATAGTTCTGGCCTTCCCGCAAAGTCTATTATAAAAATTTATTATAAAAATATAAAATAAAATAAAATGATTTATAAAAATATAAAATACTAGAAAGGGAGACGGAATAAAATATTTTTTTTTACCATAAAGAGCTCCAGCAATGTGACGAGAAGTAGAGTGAACGGAGCCAAAAACAATGATGATTAAAACTTCACAGATGTAATTTAAATATTCATCAGTAATAACCGTTGTCCCATATCCAGGTTCATTCATATAATATTCAATTATATCTAACTATTATCATAATGAATGGAATTAATAATGTCGAATCATGTTTAATTTTTTTTTAATACTTACAGGTGGTTTATAATTATCGCCAAGAGTTTCTTTATCTTTTAATCTTTTCTCTAATACAGGTCTCAAATATTTCTTCAAAGTATTAATATGTTTTCTGATAGGATTCCAACCAAATCGAATTGGTAAGGTAACAACTTGTTGATGGATTTTTGGATGAATAAATGAGAGAACGGGAGGTAACACAAAAAATGTTGCGAATTCTTTGGTTATATTGGCAAAAGCGTTGACCACATCCTCATGTCTTGATATTTCCTTTGATATAATTAAATATATTAGAGGTGTTAAAGAGATATTATAGATATTATGAGATATTAAGATATTATAAGAGATATTAAGATATTATACAGTTATCTATATTATAATTTAAAATTTTTTATTTTACCTCTCCAACTACAATATTAGCTATCGGACGAGCAATAATTTTTGAGAAAAAATCCAGTCCACTAATAATAACTTTGGGATCTAATAAAAATAATAACAGAAAACAAAATTATTATTATTTATTAAAGTAATCTTCCCGAAAAATTTACCATAAAAAAAATGACTTACTAGGACAATCTCCAATTTCCTTATTAATAGCAATCATAAGTTGCTCTTGCATTCTTCTTGTATATAAAGATAATTTTGCAGTAATTTCTTCACGTATCGTTTTGGAAAGATGTGGTATGTCACCAAATCCATTTACCCTCGGTAAAATATGATGCACAGGTAACATCTATATTTAACAAATAAACACGATATAATTTAGGATATATTTATTGTCGATTATAAGATAAATAAATCTCTTTTAAATACATCTTTTGTAGCTTCATTCAAACTAAAGGAATCGCCGAATTTAAAAAGTTCATGAGGAGCTTCGTTTCCAACCACAGTAATCACCTGACCGAATACGTAAAGATTGAAAGTATCACCGTACTATTCAATTTTGTTAATTTGTTATTCTTTTTTTTTATTTAAAAAAAAAAAAAAACACTCTATTATATTTTATTAATAATGAATTATTTTAATAATTTACATGTTTTCTGCATTCGGAAAAAAACTTGTCGGCATTAAATACAAAATCAATTGTATGGCCAATTATTGGAATTTTATAAGGAACCATTGGAGGTTCATTCTGAATAGAAAAAGAAGAGTTTCCTAAATTAAAGAAAGTTATTAAAAATGCAGAGAAATAATATCCCTTACTTTACTCAATCTTGGCTTCTTAATCCAAAGAATAGAGTAGATAACTATGAATCCCACCACAAGGGTTTGAATTGTTTCAAAAGAGAAATACATTTTGAAAAGCAATAAATTTTTTCACGAATTATCATACTTTAATCAATGCACGAGAAAGAAATGACCAATTTGTAATATTCATTTAGAAATAATCAATATATTTGCATGTCGCTTTATTCGGATCTTTTTATGCCATAATAAATTAATAAAAATACGAAGATCATATAAGCGATCTTCGAGAATATTACTGATCTGCAATCAAATTATATGGCACATCAAAGGTTAATCTTATATTTTTTTTATAAGAGCTAATTGAATTTACTGAATAAAGATGATTATTTATTTCTTCCTGTTCTCAAAAACTATTCCAGTGCTATGTGGTAAAACAAATGGTCCAACATATCTTTTTTCATCTACCTTTCCACTTTCCGTCTTAATATGATAATTCAAGATTAATTTATGCATACAAATTTTAATTTCATTAATAGCAAGAAATCTGTTTAAAAATATAAGGTAAGTTTAGTTTTTTTGAAAAATTTAAAAAAAAATGTAATGTAAATGGAAGAATAAATTTAAATTTAAAAATTCAAACCTTCCAGGACAAGCATGTTTTCCTGCACCAAATGTATAATAATTTTTAACAATTTTGGTTGCAGGAATTTTATTATTCAAACCGTAATAAGGAAGGAATGACTTTAGTTCTGGTCCACAATAACTATCATTTAAATAAATGTAGACTATACGATCTGTTAAATATTCAAAAAAAATAAATTTAATAACATTAAACGAAGACAAACAAAATAAATTCTAAAATTATTTTCTAAATGATAAAACCTTTAGGAATTGTTGTGTTATTTTTAAATGTATATGAATCGGTCATGCATCTGTGCAACTCGCCAGCTATGGTTTAGCAAAATTTTAGTATTCTAAATATTTATTGTTATACAAAATAAAATAAAATAAAATTACAGACCGACATCACCAATAGTCCTTATAGATTCTCTCGTGAAACTATCTAATTTCACCATTCTGTCAACAAGTTCAGGTGTTAAAATTCCATTGCTTTCCTTATCAATTTTTACTTGTTCCTCATAAAGATCATCCCATAGTTCTGGTCTTCCAGCAAAATCTATTATAAAATGTATTATAAAAATATAAAATAAATATAAAATGATTTAAAATACTAGAGAGAGAAAGAATAAAAAAAAAAAAAAAAACTTTTTTTACCATAGAGAGCACTAGAAACGTGACGAGAAGTAGAGTGAATGGAGCTAAAAATAAGTAGGATTAAAACTTCACAGATGTAATTTAAATATTCATCAGTAATAACCGTTGTCCCGTATCCAGGTTCATTCAAATAATATTCAATTATATCTAACTATTATTTAAATGAAATGGAGTTAATAATGTTGAATCATGTTTAATTGTTTTTAATATTTAATACTTACAGGTGGTTTATAATTATCGCCAAGAATTTCTTTATCTTTTAATCTTTTCTCTAATACAGGTCTCAAATATTTCTTCAAAGTATTAATATGTTTTCTGATAGGATTCCAACCAAATCGAATTGGTAAGGTAACAACTTGTTGATGGATTTTTGGATGAATAAATGAGAGAAAGGGAGGTATTACAAGAAATATTGCAAATTCTTTGGCTATATTGGCAAAAACTTTGACCACATCCTCATGTTTTGATATTTCCTTTGATATAATTAAAGATATTATAAGAGGTGTCAAAAGAGGTATTAAAGATATTATGAGAGACATTAATATATTATAAGATATTATACAGTTATCTTTATTATGATTTGAAATTTTTTATTTTACCTCTCCAACTACAATATTAGCTATCGGACGAGCAATAATTTTTGAAAAAAATTTCTGTCCACTAATAATAACTTTGGGATCTAATGATACAATTATTATTATTATTTATTTATTAAAATAATTTCCCTAAATATATACCATAAAAAAATGACCTACTAGGACAATCTCCAATTTCCTTATTAATAGCAATCATAAGTTGTTCTTGCATTCTTCCTGCATATAAAGATAATTTTGCAGTAATTTCTTCACGTATCATTTTGGACAGATGTTGCACGTTATCACCAAATACATCTACCCTTGGTAAAACAAGATGCAGAGGTAACATCTATAATATTTGTAATAAACACACGATATAATTTAGATATATATTTATTGTTAATTAAAATAAGATAAATAAATCTTTTTTGTTTACATCTTTTATAGCTTCATTCAAATTAAAGGAATCGCTGGCTTTAAAAACTTCATGAGAAGCTTCGTTTCCAGCTACAGTGATCACCTGACCTAAAACGTATAGATTGAAAGTATCACCGTACTATGCAATTTGTTAATTCATTTATTATTTTTATATAAAAAAAAAAAACCTAGTATACATTATTAATAACGAATTATTTTAATAATTTACATGTTTTTTGCATTCATAAAAAAACGACTCGGCATTAAATATAAAATCAATTGTGTGGCCAATTATTGGAATTTTATAAGGAACCATCGGAGGTTCATTCTGAATGGAAAAAGAAAAGAGTTGTCAAAATTAAAGAAATTATTAAAAGCACAGAGGAAAAAAAACTTCCTTACTTCACCCAATCTTGGCTTCTTAATCCAATGAATAGCATAGACAACTATGAATCCTACCACAAGTTTTTGAATTGTTTCAAAGGAGAAATCCATTTTGAAAAGCAATAATTTTTGATCTGCGATCATTGAGATGAAAAAAGCAATCATGAGTAGACACAGTAGTATATTTAGTAAACGATACAACTAAATTCGAAAAAGACAATATTTACAATAGGATTAGCAAAATTTTATTGTTATGTTAATATTTCCTTTTTTGAATTTGTAGTAATTTTTTATCAGGGCATAAAATTTTCCAAAAAAGAGGTAAATAATTTTTCCATATGATGACATATGATCATAATTACCTATAATGATAACATTTAGAAAATTTTGATAAAAAAACTTTTTATCATCTTTTTAAAATTTTCATTTAAATGTCTGTTTTATTTTTCCAGCTTATCTTTTTTATTATTGTACCACTATGTGGCATATTGTGGTATATTTTAATCCAATATGAATAATGTAACGCACTAACGCGTTTTAATCTAGATAATCAAAATCAAAATAAAAATAATTCGTAGTAATGGTTATTCGTAAAGGTCATTCTAATTTACTCTGGACTCGCAATGGTTCCCGTTTTCTAGTGTTATATATATCCCCAATTTTCATTAATACATGATTCATATAAAATTTTTTTTCTTCTTATATAAAGCATTTCTAAATTAACTAAAAAAAATAGCAAAATAACATTTTACTGATCATATTATTAATTTTTTATATTTATTTTAAAGAATCATACTTTAGTTTGAAGGAAGTTGGATTCTAATGATAAAAATTGCCCGGTTAAATTTGTCCAGTTGTCACACAGAAGAAAATTTTTTCTACTTGTGGTAAAACAATTTAATATAAATAATTGGGTTACTCTTACGCGCACAAATAGATTTTCAATTTTTGGCCATAGGCTTGCTTGCCACCACAAGTTGCACAAGTCATGACATCTAAAAAAAATTATGTACAGATCAAAACTAACTAATTATACGTATACATAATAAAAAAAATGGAAAGGTGAAAATGACATCCTTATATATAATTTTATTACAATTGTTGTTATTACTCAGATAATTTAAATTACAAAAATACCTTTTAGAAAACAGATATTATAATTATCAATTTATTTACTTATTATAAATTAAAAATAAACTAAATAAATATATCATACTTCATCAATTGCATTTTCAATCCAACTAGCAACTTTATTTCCCATTTTTTCACTATAATCTAAATAAAATATAATAATAAATTAATTTATTTAATTATAAGATAACAAAAAAAAAATGAATAAAAGAAATGTTATATAAATTCTTACCAAATACAAAAGCATGAGGCATTCCTTGATCACAGAGATAAATCTTTCCATCGGGAAATCTTGTCAACATATCATTATAATGTTTCAATGGAGCCCAATTATCTTTAACTCCAAAATAAAATATAAATTTATCTAAATGTTGTCTATACAAATTTTCATCCAATTCGTTAACAGTCTCCATTTCAGTATTAGCCATATAAAGAGTATTTTTAACTATTGGACCATGAAGAAGTTGTTCAGTAGTAACAGATAAATGTGGTTCAGATTGAAAGGTACATAATTTAACTATAAATTTGAAAATGGTGGGAGCTAATAAATAACGAAGTGATTGGACAAAAGAACTTGCAAGGTTTCTTTGACGTTCGCCAAATAAAAACTGTTGATATTTATTGTTGACATTTATAAATTAATTAATTATTAAAATAAATATCATAAAAAAGAACAGATAAGAATTTGATATGACTTACATTCAACATAATTCCATTAGGAGTTTTCTGAATGTGTTGCAATGTAGGAAATAAAGAATAAACATTTATAATTCCATGATTTGGACGTGCTTTTAATACCTAAAAATAAAATAATATTTTGATAAATTATAGTTATCAATCAATTTTCTTTTCTATTCTATTCTCTTCTCCATCTATTCTCTTCTTTATCTATCTACCATCTATTATTTTTAACATACCTGTGAACACATATAGGCTCCGATTGAATGACCACATAAAATAAATTTAGGTTGGACGTAATCTTTTGAAAATTTTTCCCGTAAATCATCGAAACATTGAATTTTATGATCAATTTGCTCTTGCAATGAATAAAGGGTATCAAATGTATTATGTTGTCCATGGGAATGACCCAAGTTAGAAACTAAACGAAAAAAAAATAATTTTTTTAAGAATATAAGATTAAAATTTTAAAAATTAATAAAAACTTAATTAAAAATATTCGTAAACCTAAATAATAAATAATTACCACCAATAACTTCAACTCTTTGTTCAAGTTTATTATAAATTGTTGTCAAGAATGGAATATAATAACTGATAACACCAGGATTACCAGGTATCATCAAAAAAATTATAGTTTCATCATTAATTTTTTTGCTCGTTTTATTCGCAGACCACCATAATGATTCGGTTAAATTTCCTGCGACATCCCAAAATTTCTTAAGAGGAAATTTAGATTTTGAAGTCATTATCGTGGTTCAAGTTAAAAGTTCCACAAGTTGATGGCGATGGAAGTAAGAAATGCTTATTTTTATATATTTTCGTCATTTTTTTCATTCATGTGATGATTAACGATTTCACATGAAAATCGTTTTAAACTTTATCATCTTTATTTATCTTTTGTGCAATATCCTTATGGAGAACAAATGTCAATATTCATAATATATTCTATAAACTTATTTATAATATTGAATTTTCCCGAAGTAGTTATTAAGTTATTCATGAAAAGATTTCTCCATGATAAGCTTTTAAAAAAAATAAGAATGATAACCATTTATCATTGAAAAAATTATTCATTCTTTGTTATTTTAATAAAAAAAAATTTAATAAAAAAGAAAAGAAACAACAAATAACAGATGAATATTGCAATTCAAATCCTGTCGACCATAAATAATAATAATGAAAAATAAACAATTTTAGAAATTGAATTTATTTTTTACCGTTTAAAATTCAAAGTTAATCGGAAGCATAGCTCAATATTCCGTCAACAAGAAAGAATTTGTAAAACAAAAAATCAATCATTAAAAACATGTGTTTAATGACCCCCCCCCCCCCAATTCGAAATTCGTTTTGTTCATTTTAAAAAAAAATGAAATCCCAATTAACAATTTATGCAGCATTATTGCTGTTTATCATGACTTTTACTCAATTTAATGTTATTACATTTGCCATTAATCCCTGTCTTGAATTAACCGATGATTATAATTCATATAAACTTTCCAATTGCCCATAAGTCAAGAACAAAAGAAACAAAAGAGATGCTCATAACACGCGTCAGTCAGATCAGTCAGATATCTTTCGAGTAATACTTAGTAGTGATACAAATGCCGCTAAAAATAACTGTAGTAAAATTAAAGATGCCTTTCTTACCGCTAGAAGAGAAATATCTAAAGTGCTAACATTAAATCCGGAAGAACCAATTTATTTATTGATTGTCCATAAGAAATTGTTTCGAAGAAAACTATAGGTAACAGTTCCATTGTATTTTTATTTTATTTTAATTTTATATTTATTGTATTTGCTTATTTTATTAAAAATACGTATTGATATTTAAAGCTCGTACTGCGCCTAATAAATTCGTTAATCACAATACGATGTTGTTTCAAGAGTTAATACAGATACTAATTGGTGATTTAAAGGTAATAGTCAAATTAAATCTCATTAATATGACCCTTTCCTTGTATCCTTGCACGAATTAATACATGGACTTTGTTTAAAATCAACTTGGACGAGTCAAGCTGAAGAATATAATTATGAGGCAACTGGTCTTGCTCCAATTTGGAAATATTATGATTGGTGTTGGTCAAATAATTTTGCTGGATTTTTTGAAACTATTTTCAATATAAATATTTATTTCTTAACTAAAACTGCGAAGGCAAAATCATATTATTACGTGTCAAAGTTCAATTCTGCTAAACCTTTAAACTCGCAACGATGAATTAATTAATTCTAAAGAATGGGCGATTGCAAAATATATTCTCAGAGAAGCAACTACTAAAGATAGTATTATTTTTGATCCATCAGAACATACGGGGGTGAAGGGTCCTATCTAAGTATTAAACCATTTGTTGAAGGCGTTAAAATAATTAACCTTAGTAAAATATATAAAAATTCTGCGGATTTTTTAAAGACATTAAAGGATCTACACTTGAGAATCTTGTTAAAAACAATCACCTATTGGACCAAAAACTATTGCTATACTTGAATCAATGGGATATTCAACACCCAAACATCCATATCCCACTTTACCCTCATTTACTTTTTCATATAAATATCTCTACACTATTGAACATAAAGGTTCTTGGTTGATCGATTAATTTTATTTACCTTAATTATTACGTATCTTATTTTTAATTACGTAGCAATCTAATTTTTATATTAGTAAAGATAGAGTAATAGAAAATATTAATTATCGATTTTATATTTATAATAAATAAAATTTTTTTCCTTATTGATTCTCGGAAATAAATTATTTTATAATCAACTATGAATTTTAATATATTTGTTTTTTTTTCATTAACGTTAATATCATCGTAATTTTGTCATCTTTTAAATATTGATTGTTTTAATTGCTTTCATATTAACTTGAATATTTGGAAACTTCAACAATTACAATAATGAAGAGTAAAATATAAGTGATATCTGAGAAAATACATTGTTCCACATAATATTATCTGATAGAAAAGATGAAATAGGTGAAATAAACAAACGAAAATAACAAAATATTATTTAATAAATATCTAAAAATAATTTCTAAGAGTTCCAAATTTATACTTAATTTTTATATTTTTTATTAAAATACATTATTTTATCATCATAATATATGTATTTATACTCTATATCAATGTATTAACTAATAAAACCTATAGTGATAATACAAATAAAACTAAGATTATTTCACATCTATTAAATAATAAATACTTATGTTTTGAGTGTTAAAACCTTCAAACCTTTTGAAATCTATACATTACAAGTCCAAAAGAACTCCTATGTATTTCATTTAAATATCCTAAAAAATGCATAATATTTATTTTTATTATAATTTATATAGATTAAGAATATACAATTTTAATATTTTTATTTAAGTATGCGATTCAAAGAACTGTTTTGAAACTGATTTATGAGATTCGTCTAAAATATCAATATCAAAAAAAAAAAAAAATTCAATTTTATGCGACAAAATCGAATGAAAAAATAAGAAATATTGTCGCGGTCTGCGCAGAACAATGTGGAAAGTTACGCAAATCAATCTCAATAAATTTAGGTCAATTACACGATAATTCAATGTATTACTAACACACTTTCTCTTGTGCGTAATATCTTAAAACACAGCAAGACTGCTTACAAACACTCACAAACAATGCAATTACGTGTAATATCTGAAGGTACGGTGAGCAAGTGGAGTAAAAGTATCTTTACTAACTGCTTCATACGCTACCGAAATTTAACAGACTTTTTGAAATAACTTGTCAAGAAGAGTAAAACAGTTTATTAAAAGATTTATTAAAATTTATTAAAAGAATGGGTCAATAGAGATATATTACTGCGTTGGCGTATCTGCTATTCCGATACACGAAATTATTTATTAATATTTAAAATTTAAAACTATTACAAAAATTATTTATTATTATTAAAGACTATTCGAAACTATTTGTATTACTAAGGTTATTTGAGAAATTATTTATTATAAAAACATAAGTAATTATGAATTATTAGGATTATTACGAAATTATTTGTTATTAAAATTATTAAGAAATTCGTTATTAAGGAAAAATATTATATGAATTTTAAAAGTTTCGCGAAAGAGGAATCTCTTTTTCTTCTTCCCTTTTCGCAGCTATTTTTATATCTTCCCATTATTTACTTTCATCCACCATCATCCATAAACACGAGGATATTTCTTTCATCTTGGATGATGTGCGACGCACAAGGATAATTTCATCCAAATAGTGACACCGTGTTAGGACGTTTTCGTGCCACCTCAATATTGAAAAAACCATTCATTCTTTGTATTGCTAAATATCACCGCAGGTGATTATCATCACTAGGTAAAATTTCATAATTCCTTGGATCAACCCTAACCCTAACTCTGCCCACGTAAATGTAATTTTACCCAGTGGTGTCAATCACCTGCGGTGATATTTAGCAATTTTCTTCATTCTTTGTTATCTTATTACGTACATTTAATAATAGAAAAGAATTAATAGTTACATTTAATATAAAAAAAAGAACCAATAATACTGATGAATATTGCAATGCATACCCTAGAAACCATAAATAATAAACAATTGAATTTATTTTTTAATCGGAAGTATAGTTTCATATTCTGACAAAGGCATTTATTTTGTAAAACAAAAAAAAAAAAAATTCAATCATTAAAAATATGTATTTAAAGATCTCAATTCAAAATTCGTTTTGTTCATTTAAAAAAAATGAAATCTCAATTAACAATTTATGCAGCATTATTGCTGTTTATCTTGACTTTTACTCAATTTAATGTTATAACATTTGCCATTGATCCCTGTCTTGAATTAACCGATGATTATAACTCATATAAACTTTCCAATTGTCAACCAGTCAAGAACAAAAGAAACAAAAGAGATACATATAACAAGCGTCAGCGTCAGTCAGATATCTTTCGTATAGAAACTGGTGTTAGTTGTAAGAAATACTGTAGTAAAATTAAAAATATCTTTCTTAAAGCCGGAAGAAGAATATCTAAAGTGTTGACATTAAATCCAGAAGAACCAATTTATGTATATGTTGTATTGAAGCCATTGGATCGAATAAAAAATTTAGGTAACGGTTTTATTTTTTTTTTTTATTTTTTTTTATTGTATTTGTTTATTTTATTAAATTTATTTTTAATATGTATTTATATTTAAAGCTAGTACTACGCCTAATAAATTCATGCCATTAATCTCTGAAGACAGAAAAACTAGACTTTATCCTCAAGCTCTTGTAAAACAATTTGATTTGGAATTTCATTCTGAATATGCACATTACGATATTGTTTCAAAAGTTAATTCAGATATTAATTGGTGGTGGGGTGATGGCCAAATTAAACCTAATCAATATGACCTTGAACTTGTAGCCTTGCACGAATTAATACATGGACTCGGTTTTAAATCAAGTTGGACGAGTAAAGCTGAAAGTTATAGTTATGAGGCAACTGGTCTTACTCCAATTTGGTATTATTATGATATCAATTGGTCATGGAAGTTTGCTGGATTTTTTGAAACTATTTTCGATAGACAAGTTAATTTCAAAAATTTCAATCGGATAAGCAATTTCATAATTAATAATACACCGACAAAATCATATTATTACGTGTCAAAATTAAATTCTACTAAACCTTTTAATTTCACCAACAAATTAATTGCTTCTAAAGAATGGAAGTATGCAAAACATATTCTCGCAGAAGCAACTACTACACATGCTATCACTTTCGAACCTTTAAAACATACGGAAGTGAAGGGTCCTTTCTACTTAGAAACAAGTCTTAAACCATTTATTGAAGGTGTTAACATAATTAACCTTAGTAAAGAATATAAAAATTCTGCAGATTTTTTAATGACATATCCGTTCATTAAAGGATCTACACTTGATAGTATTGTCAAAAACGGAAATTATGAATCACCTTTTGGACCAAAAACTATTGCTATACTTGAATCAATGGGATATTCAACACCCAAACATCCATATCCCACTTTACCCACATTTACTTTTTCATATAAATATCTCAATAATAAACAACATTTCGAGGGTTGGGAAAAATAGTTAGTACAGCAATTAGTACAGTTAATACAAATACATTATAATAATTAATATAAAATTTAGTACAATATCAATTATATCTAGTCACACAAATTTCCCCTGATTCAAGTGGCTCAATTAATTTATTTTATTACCTTAAATAATCTAATTTTTATATTAGCTACATCTTAATATTAATAAGTTACTTAAATTACTTGAAATATATTTTTGTGATATAATCTGTTGTGAATTCTAATTTATTTTTTTTTTCTTTCATTAACATTAACGCCGTCGTAATTTTGTCATCTTTTGTCATCTTTTGAATCTTGATTGCGTCATAAAGAGTTGAATATTTGGAAACTTCAATATAACAATAATGAAAAGGGAAATATTTAGGAATAAAATTGTTATTATGAAGATTCATATATATTATAGAGTTTATTTGAGTTTATCATATGCATATTTGATACAATTAATGTATAAAAAATAAGAATATCATTGAAAAAACCATTATTGCTAAATATCATCTACTGTGATATTTAGCAATTTTCTTCATTCTTTGTTGCCTCGTTTTATAATAAAAAAGAATTCTCTAGTTACATTTAATAAAAAAAGAACCAATAATACTGATGAATATTGCAATGCATACCCTAGAAACCATAAATAATAATGAAAAATAAACAATTAGAGAAATTGAATTTATTCTCTACTGTTTCAAATTCAAAAGTTAATCGGAAGTTTCATATTCTGTCACAAAGGCATTCATTTTGTAAAACAAAAAAAAATTCAATCATTAAAAATATGTATTTAAAGACCTCAATTCAAAATTCGTATTGTTCATTTTTTTTAAAAAAAAAAATGAAATCTCAATTAACAATTTATGCAGCATTATTTCTGTTTATCTTAACTTTTACTCAATTTAATGCTATAACATTTGCCATTGATCCCATTGATCCTTGTCTTGAATTAACCGATGATTATAACTCATATAAACTTTCCGATTGTCCCAAGAACAAAAGAAACAAAAGAGACGCTCATAACAAGCGTCAGTCAGATCAGTCAGGCATCTTTCGAGTAGAGCTTATTTGTAGTAAATATTCTGTTAAAAATAACTGTAGTAAAATTAAAGATGCCTTTCTCACCGCCGGAAGAGAACTATCTAAAGTGCTAACATTAAACCCGGAAGAACCGATTAATGTATTAGTTCAGTATAAAAAATTGGATCGAATAAAAACTTTAGGTAACAATTTTATTGCATTTTTTTTTTATTTTGTTTTATTGCATTTGTTTATTTTATTAAATTTATTTTTTAATATGTATTTATTTTATTATATTTAAAGCCCGTACTATGCCTAATAAACTCATGCCTTTAATCTCTGAAGACAAAAAAACTAGACTTTATCCTCAAGCTCTTGTAAAACAATTTGATTTGGAATATCATTCTGAATATGCAAAATACGATATTGTTTCAAAAGTTAATTCAGATATTAATTGGTGGTTTAAAGGTGATGGCCAAATTAAACCTAATCAATATGACCTTGTCCTTGTAGCCTTGCACGACTTAATACATGGACTTGGTTTTAAATCAAGTTGGACGAGTAATGCTGAAGGTTATATTTCTGACGCAACTGGTCTTGCTCCAATTTGGTATCATTATAATTACCGTTGGTCATATAATTTTGCTGGATTTTTTGAAACTATTTTTGATAGAAATGTTTATTTCTTAACGAAAACTACGAAGGTTACGAAGGCAAATTCATATTCTTACGTGTCAAAGTTTAATTCTACTAAACCTTTTACTAGCAAAAAAACATTAATTGCTTCTAAAGAATGGGCGATTGCAAAATATATTATCGGAGAAGCAACTACTAAAGATAGTATCATTTTTGATCCATCAAAACATACGGGGGTGAAGGGTCCTATCTACTTAGAAACAAGTATTAAACCATTTGTTGAAGGAGTTAACATAATTAACCTTAGTCAAATGGATAAAAATTCTGCAGATTTTTTAATGACATATCCGTTCATTAAAGGGTCTACGCTCGAGAATATTGTTAAAAACGGAAAATACAAATCACCTATTGGACCAAAAACTATTGCTATACTTGAATCAATGGGATATTCAACACCCAAACATCCATATCCCACTTTACCCTCATTTACTTTTTCATATAAATATCTCAACAATTATCAATGTTACGGTTCAAATGATTATTTTTGGCTCAATTAATCTTATTTTATTATCTTAATTATTATCTTATTTTTATTTAGCAACCTAATTTTTATATTAGTAAAGATAGAATAATAACTGCATATTAATAATATTAATTTTTAAACAGTTGAAATGAATACTTTTTATATTTCTTTCATTTACACGCGCGGAAATAGAATCAATAGAATCGATTTTATCCCTTAAACGGTTTAATTTTCTAAAATTTATTATTAATCATTTTATAATGCGGTGACGACAGTGCAGAAAACATGTGGTGTGGGAACACAAATGAAAGAAAAGGGAGTTCCTTTTTGCAGCATTTTCTTAAGAAATTAATAACATTTTAATCTTTTATTTTTATCTTTTTCTTTATTAATAAATAACTATAATAACATTTACAAATAGCGATAAACATAGTAATAATTATATAATAAATGTTAGAAGTAGTGACAGAATAGAAACACCCCGTTGTAATATTTTGTTGCCCAACTTCTAATAAAATTTTCTTTTACTGTTCAATTGTAAATAAACATTTTATCTCTTATAAATCTGTTCTAACACTGATAGTATATGTAGGGAAAATTACCTCTACTTCACTTACACACCTATCAGATTATACTCAGTTGTTATTTAAGTTGTCGCACTGTATAGCGATACACGAAGTGTAAGCTATTATTGAGACTGAGAACTTGATTTGTTGTGTAATTCTTTAGTGTGCTGTCCAGACAAATAAAGCTGAAATTAGTATTTTTATTTTTTTTTTCACATGTAGTGATATTTAAGTAAAGGGTTTTGTTTTTTATTGGTTGAATTTCATAAATTTTTATCATATGACTAAATGAGTTAGTTCAGAGGTAAAATTTGGCACTCTGTGTCACACCAGCTGAATATCAATTTTTATTATAAATCCGGAATTTTTTAGCATGTGAAAACCATATTTGTCACTCCATTATCTGTCACCAATAAAACCCATGCACCAAAAAACAAAGTCATTTTTATAATAAAAAAATTCGTGTAACCATAATTCGAACTTGAAAAAATTCTTATATATTAAAATCGAACACATGATAATCTGTATCCGGACAGTTGATTTTTTATTAAATTAATTAATATATTTCAAACATCAATTATAACACAACGAATAATCTAAA